ATCCGCACCGAACCGCTCCAGTCAAAATGGGGAAACCGCATTGATCGGGTAACAGATACATGGCGTAGAATACCCGTTTTGTTTTTACGGGTAATGGGACGGTTACAGTTTTATACATGGCCGCCCCATTACCGGCCAGTACCCACCCCGTCCCATTTATATTGTCTCAGTTCCTATTTATTTGGTCAACACAAATCACTCTTAATTTCTTACTTTATATATTAAAAATTTATCAAATTTGATTCAGGTTTTTGCGACTTTGTAAAGCTTTAAATGTAGTTTCCGAATATGTAATTTTTTTTCCTAAAAATAATTTGAGTGCGGACAAGGATCTGTTTGCTTTATCGTCAGTCAAACATCGTAAACTGTAAAGAGACAATATAAATGGGATGAAGTTACGATTTGTTTCACAATAACGAAGTTCTAAAAGATGAGATTTTTTTAGAAAAGAAAATTTTATTGAAAATGATGCAAGAAAAGTACATAAAAGGGAGATACAAAAGGAACGAAAAAAAGAAATGACAAAATGAAATTAGACATAAACAAGAAAATAAAGATGTCCCAACCCGAAGTATAAAGGACCTCCCAAGAGACTCAAAAAGCTCAATCATGCCGGCAGGATTCCACTCGAGATTGAGATCTAGTCCTCATGTTATGTGACTGTTGATGATTTTTCTGTATAATTTAAGTTGAGTGTTTAAATTCTTTGTAGGCAAATAATTGTCCTTTGCGACCAACCTTGCCTTATTGCAAAAGATGAGATTTTTCTCTTTTATTATGTAGATATGGATAATAGATATACTAACTATAATGTATGAATGAAAGTTCATAATATATTTTAATAGTTTTGTTTGATTATTAACACATTTTTTCGTGATTAATTATTTTTGAGATTAAGAATTTTTAGGTTCAAATTAATTTAGATTATATGCTTTGTTTGTCGTCTTGTAAACATACGAAACTTTAAAATGACGTCCAAGTCTGGAGTCCTCTAGAAGATGCCATTTTTCGCCTTTTACGTTATTATATTCATATAAAATATCAATAACTTACTACCCCGTCCCATAAACTTTGTCATGTTTGATCGACACTTAGACTAATAAAGTAAAAATTATGCAATTGAAGTTTGTGCAGAGGAGAGAGAATTATCTGGAACAACAAATTTTTTACTTAAAAGGGAAAATGACAAATTTAGCGGGACATCTAAAAAGAAAAGTTGACGAAGTTTTAAGGGACAAAAGAAATATATAATAAAGCGATTACTCGCGTTTACCTGTGATTATACTCGTTATACCCAATGAGACATTTATGATTTGAGTAAATATTATCTATCGGGTAATGAGACGGTTACCGAGCGAAGAAATTACACTAACGAAACGAATACGATTAGAGAGTGTTTGCATTTGATTAAAAAAAGTGTTTTTCAGCTTTTGGCTTAAAAAAAGTTAAAAAGAGTGTTTTCAAATGACAGTTTCTGCTTAAATTAATCACTTAAAAGCTAAAAGCTGGAAGCATGTGGAAGGGTGCTTTAAACTGCTTTTCACTTTTTCTATTACACAAAAAGTACTTCTTTTACCAAACACTACTAACTTTTACTTTTTCAGAATCACTTTTTCTTCAAACACTACCAACTTTTATTATTAATCACTTTTTCCAAAATTACTTTAAAAAATCACTTCTTTAAAGTTGAAGCAATTGGAAATAGGGATGGCAACGGGGCGGTTCGGGGACGGTTTTACATATAACCGTACCCGCCCCGTTTTGTAATTCCCCCGCCCCGTAACCGTCCCATTACCCAACGGGTAATTTTTACCCAAATCATAACCGCCCCAACGGGTAACGGGTATAACCGCGGGTAACCACGGGTAATCGGTTTATAAAATGAATCATTAATATTTTAATATAAAAATAATTTTTAAAAGGCAAAAAATGGCATCACATAGACAAATTTAGACTCATACTCCAATTTAAAGTTTCGTATATCTACTACAAGACCAGAAAGAAGGCAACATAAATTAATTTGAACCTAAAAATACTTAATATGAAAAATGTTAATCACGAAAAAATTCTGATAATAATCAAACAAGACTATTAAGATCTATTATGAACTTTCATTCACACACTATAGTTAGTCATCAATTATCCATATATGCACAATGAAAATAGAAAAATATTATCTTTTAGTAGTTGTGGAACAAATAATAGATAAAAATGTAATAAAAATATAGCAAAAGAAACGGGGCGGGTACGGGGCGGGTACGGGGCGGGTAATGGGGCGGACATGTATAAAACCGTAACCGCCCCGTTACTCATAAAATAAAAACGGGTATTTCCCGCCCCATACCCGTTACCCAGTCAATGCGGTTTTCCCCGTTTTGACCGGGGCAGTTCGGTGCGTGTATCCATCGGATCGGTCACAATTGCCATCTCTAATTGGAAACACTCCCTTATACTCGATATATAAAACCGTTTCCGATGTGGCCCCGATGCAACTCGTATATGTGAATGAGAGTAGTGCCGAGTAAGTACGAAGTACAACATGGGCACAGCGACACAGGTCGATGTGATTGGGATAAAGTACAACCTATATGTGCAGAGGTGGAATGATGATTCTATATTGGCGTATGGCGGCATTGTCTATCTTTGCTAGCTGTTGCGCGATACAACCAAGCTGGCATTTCATTATTACGCATTTACCCCTTGCTAGATATGATTGTTTTAAGAAAAATGGTAAAGGTATCCCAATTCGTATCTCAATTTGTACCTCACCTTATTTTTGTGGCTCACAAAAGTACCTGATTAAAGTGGAGCAATTCATTTATTGAGGTGGGCTTTTGTGAGCCGCAAAAAATAGGTTAAATTACAAATTGAGGTACCTATAACAGGGTTGTTGTTTTAATTCCGTCGAGCTGTTCAAGCTTGACATACGAAGTACATACTCCGTATAATACTCTTATTTTCATCTTATATTACTCCGTATGAAATTGAATATATTTTGTTTATAAATTATGAAATCAAATCTTATGGAATGATCTACAAATCTTTGGCGGTAGAAGCAACCACCGCTTGAGTTGAAGCTGCGAAGAGACATAGGAAATAGCTTACAGAGTCGCAAATTTTCTCACATGCAACTCCAAATTATCTTTAATTAGTTGTCTTGTTGACTTAGGGAGGAATTGGATATATTTTAGTCAATCTTATCTTAATTAGTTGTTATCTTATATATGGACCTAAGTTGTCATGAATTTTATTATTATTTTTATTTTAAAATTTTTAAATATTAATTAGTTTTATTAAACTAATAAACTTTTGTGAAGAAAAGTTTATCAAAAATTAGTAATGGATTTAATAAAAAATTAAATAAATCAAAACCTTTGAAATATTAGGTCCTAAATTGATAGTTTTTCCTCATCCGGGTCCTGTATCGATACGTTTCATCTTTCAGGTTCTAAATTGATAATTAATCTATATTTCTTATATTCTTATCTATAAATAAACAATACTCTGTATTAGTTGGGTTTTTAATCGCATATCGACGAGTTACGGAGTATATGAAATACGGAGTATCTAGTTTTACTCTACACATACATACACAATGTAAAAATAACATTAATTATGTTTTATTTCTCACGTACTATCAATTTTGAGTCTTTTACTATTAATCATTTTTTCCAAAATCATTTCAAAAATGCTTTTTTTAAAGCAAAATCATTTGCAAAACTTAAATGCGTCACACTAGATCAATAAATAAAAGTACGGAATATATAAAACCAAGCAAAACTGAACATGATAGAACTATGGTGTGGTTGAGTTCTTCTTACTGTCATTATCCTCATTTTAGACTTTAGTAGGATCATGGTGTGGATCATTAAAACTCGTATTACAAACATTCATTTCGTTTCAAAATTATTCATCTTCTCACAAATGACAAACATTCAAATAAGAGCATGATTGAGGAACGTTTAGTTGATATCACAAACATTTAATCCAAAATGCTACTCTATGTTTTCTGCAAAATTCTTCCCGATTTGACTTGGATCGAAGTTTAACAAGGTGAAAATTAAGTAAATATATGATTATGATTAAATAGAAAAATGTAAAATGAATGATAGTCACACAAAACTTTTCAAAAAGGAAAATGAGAAGATTTTTTTTAAACGTACTAAAAAAAGGAAAGTGAAAAGAATTTTCAGGGACGAATGAAGTATTAGTATAGTGATTACTACTCCATGTTAATTATCAGTATTAATGTTATCATTATTATTTATTATTATTACTATTATTATTATTACTATTATTTGACTTCCATTTTGATTGAATTTTTAACTAAAATTTGATGAACATAATCTATTACTACTCCGTGTTAATTATCAGTATTAATGTTATCATTTTTATTTATTACCATTATACCCCAATAGTATTGAATACATTCTCTCAATCTAACACACCCAATAGTATTTAATATTTCCATTATAATTTGACATTCCTTGGACCAATGAAGGTCTTGCTGCCCTCAATATGACATTATGAGGCCGTTTGTCAACCATGTTATTAGGCTTATCAGACAACTTTTTTATCAAACACGTAACTTTTGATTTCACGCGCTGAATTGTGTAATATGCAGAAAAGTAAGGTAGGAGTTACTTTTCTGGCTGTATTGGTTGAAGTTATTGAAGATGACCACTTTAGTTATTTTTACATATAATTTTTTCTTTATCTTATTAATAAAATAAGTAGTATATTTTAAAAATAATTTTTCTTAAATCAGCAGAATCAGCCAATGCAACCAAATCAGTCAGAACTTCATAAATTTCAGGAGAATCGGCCAAAACAGCCAATTTTTATGCCACAAAAGGAACTGTATAATCTTACATATTGTCATATCGATGATTGATCAAAGGTATGTATACAAATGTGAAGAGCATTGTTGTTTGCTAGAAAAACTCAGCAGAAGAGACGAGAAAAAACGCGGAGTGGTACGTACTTACGCACACCCCTATCGGACCCATACCACCATCACCTGTACGTCCATCTCTCCAATAAATACCAAACGTGGGCTGCCCATTCAGTCCTCACACCTTACCCAATCTGGCCAACAGATCCATAATTACAATGGAGTTTATTCAAGCACTGCTTCTACTTCTCTTCGTCTCTTTCACTCACTCCCTCGCCACTGTAACCTTCTTCACTAATCCCACTGTCCCAACTTTACTGCTACTTCCCGCCCGCTAATGATCTTTTTTGTGTTTTCTGTTTGTTTTTGTTTCCAAATGTCCAGAGCAATGAGAAGCCGTCTCTAAGTCAAACTCCAGCGTTGACGCCACCAACTCCGACGCCGGTCATTTCACCGCCGCCTGTCAAGACCACTCCCGTCCCTCCTCCAGTTAAACCGACGCCGCCTTTCAGGCCGATATCTCCTCCTCCACCGGCGCTGGCCGCCAAGACGCCTCCCTCTCCACCGCCGGTTCCGGTAAAGACCCCATCTCCTATTCCCCCGTCGACTCCGCCGCCCGTCGAGACCCTCCCCCCATCACCACAGGTCCCGGTGAAAGCACCGTCGGTTCCTCCACCGACAGGGAAAGTGCCTCCTACTCCGGCTGTCACTCCGACACCACCTTTCCGTCCGCCAAGAAACATGGCAGGTAAAACGTTGCTTCAAAATTACGGCATCTTTAACAACTTGTTGTACGTAGTAAAACAATTGCTACACTTTTTTGTTCACTACTCCTCGATAATCGATATCACAAAACCGACTCACTTTGTTTTTATGTTCCTATCAAAATAGGTGTCTCAATTTTATTTTAGCAAATAATTTGTTAAATCATTTACACCGGAAAGTTGTTAAACAATCAAACATTATATGAGTTTTTGGACTATTCATTCTATTCCGGATCATAACATAATTCCATCCCAAAAATAATTACTCCCTCCGTCCCATTTTATCTGTCCTGCTTTCTTTTTTGAGTTGTCTCAAAATAAGTGTCTTCTTTCTTTTTTGGAAAGAAATATGTGGTCTGCATCATTTCACTTTATTAAACTCAAATTCCAACCACAAGGGTATCACTTAGAGCCCGTTTGGTAGCACGAAAATTAATTGATTTGCCTGTTTTTGCTGAAATGTGTGAAGTTTTGGCTGATTCTGCTGATTTAAGAAAAAATTATTTTAAAAATATATTTTATTAATAAAATAAAGAAAAATTATATGTAAAAATAGCTAAAATGATTATCTACAGTAACTTCAGTCAAAACAGCTAGAAAATTAACTTCAATCTTACCTTTTCTGTTTATTACACAATTCAACACGCGAAAGAAAAAATTGCGTTGTCTACGTGTTTGGAGAAAAAATTGGTTGAGGGTGAAAAAAAGTGTGGACAAACGACACTTTATTCATTTACACTTTTTCTCTCTACAGGGATAATTTTTTTTTGCATACAGTTAAATCTGCTAAACTGAAAATGTGTCCATTTTAACCGTGAAATGACGTATATGCCCTCATAATTTCAGAATGCGGACCACCGTGTTTGGAGAGGTGCAAGCTCCACTCGCGGCCGAATGTGTGCCAGAGAGCGTGCACGACGTGCTGCGTGCGGTGCAAATGTGTGCCGCCGGGTCAGTCCGGCAACAAAGAGATGTGCGGCAGCTGCTACACGAGCATGACCACCCACGGCGGAAGGACCAAGTGCCCCTGAACCATTAATTACTCGCATTCCGTAATCCTTAATGTTTCTCTTAAAGTATGTTCCACTTAAATTTGTTTCAGTTAATTACTCTTTAATTTTTGGAGGGACAACGACCCTTGCGTTCAAATGTATGCGAGTAATATAACCAAATATTGCTGTCGGACGTAATAAGTTTATTTAATGGATATCTACCAAACTTTTGCAACCTTTCATCTCACCAAGCTGACACTTTTGATTTTAAGCGTTTTTACTTAAAATCATTTAGGCCCCAAATGGATACTTTTAGTTTTTCATTCATACAGAGTAATTTTTTTTGAATAAATGGAAAATTAAAAGAGTTGAGCGTTTCACTTCTATAAAAATCAAACAATTAAATATCAAACAATTAAATATAGAAAATTTCAAAGATAGGTATGGAAAATGTCTTCTAATACATACTTGAGTGTTAAAAACTCTATATTAAATACTGCGTATAATAAAAAGTTTTAAGTCCATGTTCTGTCACTAAACTCTAGTTAATCGTTTAAACAGTTAAACGTGTAATATAACTAGTACTTTATCAAAATAACATGGACAAACAACAGCATTATCCTATCCTTGCAAAGGTTCCTTTTTATGATGGGAAAAGGGTGTCGGATGTATGCAACTTAACTTGTCTAAAGGGTTAGATGTAGTGCTGGACTCGGGCCGGGCGGCCCGGCCCGGAACCGGCCCGGCCCGGTTACTGTTTGGTCCGGCTCGGCCCGGGGCCCGGTGGGTCCCTCGGTTCGGTTCGTCCAGGCCCGGCTGCTGGGCGGTTCGGGCCCGGGCCCAGGTTTTGGTGAACCGGCCCGGCCGGTTCGGGCCCGGTCCGGGCCGGATTTTAATTTTTTTTTTTTTTGAATTTTTTTTAAGTTTTAGGTTGGATTAGGTATTTTGGGCCATTTGAGGTGGTTTGGGGTTGAGGGGGAGGGGTAGGGGATTAAATAGGAGAACAAAAAAAAAAATTATTGGGCCGGTTTGGCCCGGAACCGGGACCGGAACCGGCCACCGGCGGTTCGGACTCGGGCCTCCCTTTCCTGGCCCGAGGCCCGGCCGGGCCCAGGCCCGAACCGGGCCCGAACCGGCCCGAGTCCAGCCCTAGTTAGATGTATGTGGCCTATCAAAGTTTAGGGAGACATTTTCTCAAAATCTATGATAAAAATTGCGTCGAAAATGAACTGATTGATACTTCAAAATAAAGAAAGGCAAAAAATTTAGGGGTATATTTTCATTTATTCTATCATATTCTTAAGTCAAAAATAGATTTATTCTATCATATTCTCAAGTCAAAAATAGTGTTTTTTATTGGATTAGAAATGATGGAAAGTGTAGTTCTTTTTATTTATGATCTACTCCGTATTAAGAGTAGCAACATATGAGTTTTTTAACATTTGATTTGTTTTCGGGCATTTGTACAGATCCAACTAGGTTTTAAATGTTATACATCCGTATGTCCTACTGTATTATTTATGTATGTACACATACATCGTTTTCTTGTACTGTTTGTGTCAATAAAGAATTACAAGTTTAGCTAACACTAGTTAATTAATTATTTTACATGCAGTTGCGGACTTGCGGTAGTTTGTCACTTATGCACTTGTTTATATAGCTTAGAATGATGCAATTTCATTAATATACCATAATTTATACGTAGTAATGTGTAAAAACCTAGAGCATTAATTACATTTTTCTCTCCTTGTAAAACTTGCCTCAAAATTTACCCTAATATTTTATAAATTCTTCTTTTTCCCTAGGGTGTTACTCTATCAACTATATTGATATCATTATAAATTTTTAATATTATTTGAGGTACGCTACAGTAAGGTAGCATATCATATACGTAGTAAAAATTAAATATTGCTTCCCTCATCCCGCTAAGAATGTCTCATTTTATTTTTTCGAGAAATCAACTAAGATTGTCTCATAACAAATTTGATAAAGTTTGTGTGGTTCTAAATCACTTTTACTTTATTCTTATTTTGTCAATTCAATATCAATCACGTAAATCCACTTTTTTAATAATTGTGTCACATTCTCTTGTCTCAATGTTAGTGGGAAGGGGATAGTATTTATCCTCTACTATATGTCTATATAGAAATGAATCTTTTATTTTGAAAATCTAAAATTGGGTTGTTAATATTCCATATGTGCATTTGTTCAGGAAATTGAGACACAACTCCTCCGGTTAATGGACTCATCGACTAGCGAGAGTGGAAGAAATGAGACGTTGGTGAGGTAAGAAAAATGTAAGATGTGGCGTGATATTTATGAGAGAAATAGAACAAGAAACTATAGAAAAACTTAAGTAGAGGAGCATGAATGATTAAATTATGATTTAAAATGTATCTCAAGTTTTGTATAGTGACTTTCATGCCCTAAACATTTTGATTTTTTGAGTACACAACCACCCTTTCATGGAGAGTAGAATCCTTCTAAGGGATTGCTTCTGATCAGCTTATGTTGTGGGTTAAAGTATGTGAGTTGTATCAAGAGTTTAGAAAGAGACCTTTCCATTTTGAAAATATTTGGGTTCAGAGGAGTGGATGTCGGGAAGTAATTCAACATATTGGATCAAGAGATTTGGGAGAAGATAGCATATTGTGGGAATGTATTGGCCAGGGCGGTGGGGGAAATCGTGAGAAAGAGGGGTGATAGAGTATATGAGCTTAGACAGGGGCGGACCGTAGCACAGACTCAGGGGGTTACCGCCCCTCCAACAAAATTTATTTTTAGTGTATATATATAAGAAAAATAATTTTCGCCCTCAATTTTTTTTGAACCCCCGACATGAATTTCCTGGATCCGCCCATGGGCCTAGACCTCATGGCCCACATACTCAGAAGGTCAAAGACACCAGAATGACATCCACATGGCAGCCTTCGGCCGAGAGCGTCCAAACTTTCTCATGAAATACAAATTCGGCGTAATAACCTCCTGTTATTTAAAAAATGCGTCAAATCCCTTTATGTTATACTTATTCATGGGCACAATACTCATTCTACGAACACATTTAATTCCAAGTAAATGCAAAATGATTAGTTTGATTGTATAGTTTAGAAAATTTGACAAAGTTACTTGCATTTTCAATCCTTTTATTAAAAAAATGTGATTTCAAAATTGTAAAATTTGTTCTTAGAGGAGATCTTGCGCATGAATAATTAAAACACATGAGGTTGATGCACCTTTTAAATCATAGATGACTAATGCACCAAATTTATATTTTATGAGGGGCTTAGACAATGGGGGCATGTGCCTCCAATAAAGTTTTTAATTACTTGTCTTATACTAGTACAAGATAAAGCAGATAGTTGTTAGGAAGTAGCTTGCCCCCAATGAAATTAAAAGATTGAGTTGCCCCCAATAATTTTCCTGACATCCTAAACGAGAAACTAGTGCGGCTCTAATTGTATTTGTTCGTTTAGGCTTGAACTGGTCAAAATAATGTACAATTATGAGTAAGTTAGATGCAATAAAACTAATTCAAACATCGTTGGTATTATTTTAATAAACAAACTATATTCACTGTTACATTTTTTTTTTTATATTTTTGGTTGGATAATTAATAAAGTAAAAAAAGTTAATACACATAAATAATGGTAAAAAGTAAATCAGATACCGTAACTATAGAGGTCACCAAATGGATCTAGTCATGTGGGTAGAATATTACTAATATTTCACAACTTAGATATATTTATTTACATATCGCCAATTATTCAATGATGACGTAAAAACTAACATAATTTGTATAAAATTGCTTTTCAAAGCATAAGATATTTTCACTTGAAATGTAATTTGTTGGTCTGATCTGGTCTGTTTAAGTCTGGTCTGGTTTGGTATGGGGTTGAAAACTGTCCAAGTAAAAACAGGCGTAGTTCTAGACTTCTAGTGAATTGATTTTCACGGGTCTATTTTATTAACTAGAGTTTAGAATGTCAGATTCCATTAATTAAATTCTAATTGCATACTTAATTTATTCGATCAAATTTACTATAAAAGATACTTTAATTTAATTATTAAATTTTCATGTCACAAAATTTTAAATGAAAATGATGATGAAATGAATTGATATTTTAAATTAGGTCTCTTATTTAAAAACTGCTTTCTCATAAAATTGTACAATCTATGATGATTTTCCGGAATAATTAACCGGTATTTGGAATGAAAATATTTCTAAATTGCATAAAGAATCTCATGCAACTAATTATATCATCCATTTATAATTATGGAGGCATGAATGCATCCCTCATCTAAATAATATAAAAAGGGATTAGGTCAACAATATTACTAATTAAAAGACTTTGGACAAATATAACAATTCTTTTAACATTTTCCAAAAAAACAGACCTTCGGTGGCATCATTTAAAAAATCGGGCGTATATACCCTTCTTGGCAACTAGTCTCAGTACACGGCACACGTAATACACAGAATACTATGCATAAGCCTCTTGCGAAATTAAAAAACAAAGTCTTCCTAGCCATTTCCCCATTCCGAAGATGCTAGCGTGGACCAACAAAAGAGATATTCCATATTTGACTTTTATATACTTCCTCATTTAATATTACTCGGTTACGATTTACCGTTAGTTGACCCGGTTAATTATAGTTACTTCACCCAACCAGTTACAATTATTTGATTTGTCTATTACAATTACAGTTACCCGACTCAACATATTACAATTACCCGACCGGTTACAGTTAACTAGACCCAACTAGTTATAGTTACCTGACTCAACCAGTTACAGTTACCCGTCCAGTGACAGTTACCTGACACGATCAGTTACAGTTACGTGACCCAACCAGTTACCGTTACCCGACCCAACCAGTTACAGTTACTTGACCCGTCCAGTTACAGTTACGTGACCTGTCCAGTTACAGTTACGTGACTCGTCCAGTTAGAGTTACGTGACCCGTCCAGTTACAATTACGTGACCCGTCTAGTTACAGTTATTTGACCCGTCCAGTTACAGTTACGTGACCCGTCCACTTACAGTTACCCGATCCGCTCAGTTACAATTACCCGACCCGTCCAAATACAGTTTCCCGACCCGTCCAGTTACAGTTACACAACCCGTTCAGTTACATTTACAGTTATCCGACCCGTCTAGTTACAATTATCCGACCCGGTCAGTTACAATTATCCGACCCGTCCAATTACACTTATCCGACCCGTCCATTTATAATTATCT